TCCAGGGACTCTGAGACCGAGGAGGACGCATTCCCTTTAAGAGTGTGCTCCTAATCTCAGCTCGTTACCTGTATAAAAGACACCTGGGAGCCAGAAATCTTTCTGATTGAGAGGGGGTCAAATACTTATTTCCCTCATTAAAATGCAAATCAATTTATAACATTTTTAACATGCGTTATTCTGGAATTGTTTTGTTGTTATTCTGTCTCTCACTGTTCAAATAAACCTACCATTAAAATGATTGACTGCTCATTTCTTTGTCAGTGGGCAAACGTACAAAATCAGCAGGGGATCAAATACTTTTTTCCCTCACTGTACATAGGCGTTAAGACAAAATCCCTGCCGAGTACAGTGTAGCTTCACTGTAATACAGTAGGCGACACTGCTAATGTAAATGGCTCCGTTGTGATCAGGGGAACCAAGTGTGTGGGATTATTTTCAGCAGTGTGAAATGCACTGCACGACGACTCCACTGCAGCAGCATACTTGAAATTGGTTTTGGCTAATCAACGTTGATATATGGTGCAATGTATGCTCAATAAAAAAAACGTGTTGTCAAATATCAGACTGGCCCAGTCCGGAATGGTTTTTGAAACTCCTGAATGTTTATATGTATTGAAGACTCTGAATGCATTGTGTTTACTGCCAATACCAATTAGGACATGTATGCATGCCATTACTACAAAACTTCCTTAGTTTGGGACAATGATTAGCCAAAGTTAAACCCCTGCAACTCGTGTTTTCAATTATTTGCTTTTTCGAAGAAACAGTTAACAGTTAAGCCCAACAATTGAAAACTATAAAAAAACATACTTTAGAACAGTAAACACAACAAAGTCTTGCTTCTGATTCAATGCATTCTATCAAGATCGCGGGTTTATTGAAGACCAATTTCGAAGTGAAGTCTGCGCGGGAATTAAACGATACAATTGACAACATACCTACCCCCAAGTGAAATTTAAAATCAATAAAAAAAACACCAGCTTCTCCTCCCCAGTTGCAAACAAAGTGATAGATGTGTATGCAGAGGAGACGACTGACAATAGTTTAACTCGTTGGTGGTTTGTTCATCGTGGCAGGGCGCTGAGAGCCATCTCCTTCATCCGGCGCCGGCTCACGGTGAAACGACCACAAGTCCTGTTAAAGCTGTCACCAAAGGGGGCCACAAAACAAGAGGAAGTTATCACGACAGCAGTGTATGAAACAAACCCATTTTTACGACGATTAAGGCACTGGAGAGCAAGAGCAGGCAGTGGTTAAAACAAAAACCTAGATTTTTTAAAAAGATTTATGGAGCTGTTAATCAGAACAAAGGATGTGTTTGCATTTTAGTCAACTTTAAAAAAAGAGCAAATGAGACGTGGAAACCAAGTACATTTGTTGGTAATGATTAATAATTTGGATATATATAAACTCCCAGAAAACAGATTGTACGTGCTGATGTAAGATATTATTTTCATATAAAAATATTCTGTTCTGCACCATCACTGAACCGCGTCTTATCTCCCTCGCTCTCTCCCTCTACCCTCTCTACTACCACCACTATCACTACTACTACCACCACTATCACTACTACTACCACCACTAACTACCACTACTACTGCCACCACTATTACTACCACTACTACCGCCACTATTACCACTACTACCACCACTAACTACTACCACCACTAACTTCTACTACCACCACCACTATTACTACCACCACTAACTACCACTCTTACTACCACTACTACCACCACTATTACTGCTATTACTACCACTACTACCACCACTAACTACTACTACCACTACTTCCACCACTAACTACTACTACCACCACTCTCACTACTATTACTATCACTACTACCACTACTATCACTACTACCACTACTACTACCACCACTATTACTACCACTACTATGATCACCACTATTACTACCACTACTATGATCACCACTACCACCACTATTACTACCACCACTACTATCACCACTAACTACCAATACTACCACCATTATTACTATCACCATGCTACCACTACTACTACCGCTACTGCCACTGCTACTACACTCTATACTAATGTGTAGTGTACTCTATACGCGACTGTGCACAATTCTGAGTCACTTTAACTGCTTTGCCATTACTTATTGCCAATTATGGACTCGGACTAATATTCTATCATCTCATAGAGTCCCTGGCACATAATAATATGCTACACAGTGGCAGTGGGTGTCGCAAAATGTTGATTTACTACTAATAAACCCCAATGATTCGATCATTGGGGAGGGCACGTGCTGTTGTATATGCCGGGTATGAAAATTTTGATGAAAATAATAAAAATTAAATGAAATTTTGAAAAATGTGTATTTATCCAAAATTATAGTATTTGATGTAAATATGTGCATAAATTATGCTAATTAGAGAATCGTATTATTTTATGTGATTATGCTAATGTGGGCAGTTATGATAATTAGGCTTCGCTTCGTTGCTCAGGGCCGTATCATCAATCGGGATCATACAATGAATTGTATGAAGTTATGCAGGTGTGTTGTAAGTATGCTAGATTAAGCTCAGCTTCGTTGTCTAAGTTTGTATTATAAATCATAATACAATTATTCCTGCTTTAACATTTACTGATTATGTATTACTGTTTATGTCAGGTCTCCAAATTCAAATCTCACCGCAGGATACAGTTCTTATTATTAAGATTATTACGCATGAACTCAAGAAGGAAACACTCAAACACTTCTGTGTTAAGAAATTTTAATTATGAACAAAAACATGACACTTTAATATGCGAACTCTCATGTTTGGAATTACCCCCGGTACCATCGGGGAAATTTCCTTCAGTGAGCAGTACATTTAACCATCAATGGTTGCGTTGTTTGACTTTGGCAACCGCACATATGATTAATTCCACCGCGTAACTCGAGCTTAGTTGGTGATAGGGAGAGTCTTTAAAACAGGCATGCAACGATATTTATACGAAAGGCAATAAAAGCAAATTATTATACCCCAAAGGCAAAAGTATACATCAATAGATTCATCGGCAAGATTATATAATTAACTAAATGTCTTGGAATAAGGGTGTGCAGCAGGGTGCGTGCCCTCCTACGGGAGATTCTTATCTTTGGCTAAGCTTTAATTAATTCGTAGACAAGATTACATGCTAAAGAAACGGGTTTAACACGATGTTATCTCTGTGAGCGTGTAGATTCGTGATGAAGATTTCAAAAGTTTAGTTTGTATCGATGAATCTATTGGTAATTTATGTGATTAGAAGTAAATTCACATAAAACAAAATAAGGAAAAATTAATGTACTTATAAACGGCGTATTCTTATCACTCGCTGAGCCGCGATGCCTTCACGGCCAGCTGATGGTTCATGCACTTTTATAATTAGTCTTCTTATTGTGTGGATTGTCTCTTTGGTAAATTATTGTGTGAGCAGACGCCGGGAGCGTCGTGGGTTTGTGAGGGTGGGGGAGGGTATACGAACGACGGCTGGTTCCCTATCTCTTGTCTTGGTTCCCAGCTGGTGCTGGTCGGTATGCGTGCGGGTCGAACCCACTGCGCGCTCGCTGGCGCTGCCACTCACACGGGCGGCTGGTCAGGCTCTTTCCCCTGCTGGATGAGCCGAGTTGGCACAACGCTTGGCAGCTGGCACCCTTGCTTGGTGGCGCTGGTGGCGCTGCTGCGCGCTCTTGCTCCGTCTCTCTCTGGCGGTGCCGATTGCGTGTGCAGATGGTTTTCTACAAGGCTGGCTTGGCCGATGCTTGGCCCTCTCCGCCCTTTCTAGAGGTTGATTGCTTGACGCTGAGAATAACTTTCAGCGATACTCTGTCGGTCCATGCCGAACTCAGCACAGAGCATCACCTCGCCCCTCTTCTCTGCGATGCACCACACGCATTGTTGCTCTCGAGGCCATGCCCCGGAGCTGGCTTGCTGTCCTCTTCCGAGCTGCTGTGTCTTCTTGTCGAGCTGATGGTCGCCGTCTTCTGCCGCTGGTAGCTGCGATTGTGATGTATGGCCCGTGTCTCTCTTTTTATGCCAAAATTTCTTGTTAGTATCTGATATCCCGAGGATAGAGGATTCGTTTTGGCTTAGGAATAACCCTGACTGCTAGAATTATTCTTGATGCTTCGGTCAGGTGTAGAAAATTATTAAAGGTGAAAATAACATTAGTATTGAATTCATAAATGAGTAATGATCCACTGATGTAGATTGTGGCTTGGTTTTTAAGTGGAGTGAGTGTGAGGATCGATAATGTTAGCTTCATCTTTGGTCGCTAAGTTTTGGAATTTTTACCATTTGTTAGCAGAAGCATGAAAAAGTTCACCAAAACGAAACGCCTGTTTGTTATTCTTCGTCGGGGGGGCGGGGGGGGGGGCGTGTGTTTTTTTAATTGGACTTTATGACTGACCGTTTCCGTTGGTGGGAGGGGAGGGTGTCATTATCTTTGCGAGAGTGATAAGACAGCTGCTCGAAAGGGGGGGGGGGGGGGTTCTGTTTGTTTGTGCTCCCAGCGACCCCGCGAGTGATTATATGAAAAAAAATATTGGCAAAATCATTAATATAAAAAAATGGAAAAAGGCCTATATATACAACAGTGCCACCCCACCCCCCACTGGCTCCGCCACTGCGAACGAGCGAACGTTGAGGAGTAATTTGGCCGCCGCAAATGTCTACGTTGGGGATGGGTCTCTGGAAAAGGTGGTCGGGAGATGTCACCTCCCTCGCCTGGTACGCAGGAGGTCGTGGGTTCAATCCCAACCCTGAAGACGCCTGCTGCTGTAGATTTGGAGTTTGCATCTCTCATCATCATCACGGTGGCTAGGAGATGTTAACTACTGCGCCTGGTATTTGGCCACGTGACGACGATGATGAGCCACTTTGCTGAGCTGTCATTTACGACGGCCAGTTCGCTACTGAAAAAGCGCTACCCGGTCGCTCGGTGGGGGGGCGCCTTGCCTGGCAAACATAAAAATTGTTTGGTTTATGTTTGGTCTTGATCTGACATGTTACAGGATGAGGAGGACCCATACCCTATTGGGAGCACCGAACGGACCCGGAGACTTTCGCGGCACCCGCCTTTCCGACCGCTGCTCGGTGTCGTCATTGTCGTCATTGCCTCTCGAGTGCAGACCATGACGCCCAACAAGATGGCTTCGGTGCTCCTCCCGCTGCTGCTGCTGCCGCCGTGCGGCGGCCAGCCGGAGCCGCCCTTAGCCAGATATTTCTACAATGCCACCGTCTACGAAAACTCCGCGCCCAGGACGTATGTGGAGAGCCACAGCAGAATGGGGTTCTACATCGGCCTCTGGGGCTTCATACCCACGTACTCCATCGTATCCGGGGATGAGGGGGCCGGGTTCACGGCAGAGGGGTTGCACTTGGGTGAGACTTTAATCTTGCGCATCCGCACGGGGAATGTGCCGTTGAACCGCGAGGAGCGCCCCGGCTACGTACTGGGGATAAGGGCGGTCACCTGGAGCCGCCGTTGTCTGGCGTTCATCACGGTCTACGTCCGGGTGATGGACCGCAACGAATTCAGCCCGCTGTTCTCGATGTCATCGTACGGCACGAGAGACTTAAAAGCGCCGGCGAGCACCGTCGGCCTCTTCGTCACCGACGACGCGCCGGCGGGCACCGTCGTCGTTCGCGTCGCCGCCACGGACGCTGACGAGGGCCCCAACGGGCGCATCCGTTACGCCCTGGCAAATCGCGTGTTCGCCGTGCACCCGACGAGCGGCGCTGTGATGCTCGTCAAGAGGCTGAAGCCCGATGATTGGGGGATATACATATTGAAGGTGCTTGCTGTCGACAGCGGTGGCCTGTCCAGCTCGGCGCACATCACGGTGTCCGTGTGCTTGACAAACCACGACTCCCCGCGTATTGCCGTCGTCGCGACCCGCGAGCCGCGGGCGTCATTTGCTAACCCCGCCGCCTCGTACGCCGAGCTCGCCGTGAAGGACGCCGATATCGGCCCCGCGGGGGAGATCAGCGCCGTGGAGATCATCGCCGGCGACCCCCTCCGGGCGTTCTCCGTCACCCTGACGGACGGAGCCGACCCCGACTCGACCTACGCGGTGAGGCTCTCGGGGCGGCTAGACTGGGCGGACTTCCCCTTCGGGGTGAACCTCACCGTGCAAGCTCGCGACAGGGGGAGGCCGCCCAATTACTCGGGGCCCGTCACGGTCACGGTCCGGGAGGGCGGCGCCGCCGGCGCGTTCGAGCGGAGCGTCTACACAGGTGCCGTCGAGCGGCGGTCTCCGCCCCGCACCGTCGTGCTCGCGGTCAGAGCCTCTTGCGGCGCGCGGAGCTGCCGGTACGTTGTCCGAGGTGGCGCCGACGGCGACTTCTTCGCCGTGAACCCCGCCACCGGGGTCGTCTCCGTCCGCAAGTCTCTGGCGGCGGTCGACAGACCCCGCCTCGCGTTCGACGTCGGTACCGACGTCGGCTCGGGCATCGCCAGCGTCACGATTGACGTCGTGTACTACAACGACCACGCCCCGGTCTTCGAGCGGCACAACTACTTCGCCTCGTTGAGGGAGGACGTCCCGGCGGGCACCTTTGTGCTCGTCGTGTACGCCACGGACAAGGACGAGGGGTACGACGGCCGCGTGACGTATGGCCTGGCGGACTCTGACCCCGGCCCATTCGCCGTTGACCCCTTCACGGGCATCGTCGTCACGACGGGGCCGCTGGACCACGAGGAGACGGCGGGGGTCTACTGGCTGCACGTGCGAGCCTCGGACTGGGGGACTCCGTTCCGCCGGGAGGCGGAGGTGATCGTGACTGTCCGCGTCGTCAACGTGAACGACAATGCGCCCGTCTTTGTGAGGAACTGCGTGGGTCAGATCCCCCGGGACCTCCGGCCTGGCGAGCCGATCTTCACCGCATTGGCCATCGACGCCGAGCTCCAGCCGGTGCTCTACGGCATCGCGTCCGGGAACGAGGGCGGCTTCTTCGCGCTCGACGACGCCCTCGGCGTCGTGACGCTCGCGCGTTCCCTCGCCGACGTCGCCGTCGGGCCGGTGGGGGCCTTTCACCTCGGCCTCACGGCCACCGACGGGGAGCTCTCGGCAGAGATGTTCCTGAACATCTCGGTCCTGGACGCCAGTCCCGGTTCGGGGCCGTCATTGCGGTGCGTGGCGACGGGGATTGTCCGGAGGATGGCCGAGATTCTCCACCGGGCGGACCAACAGCGAGACCGCCCGCGGCCTGTCGCCGCCAGCACCGTCAATCGGCACGCGCCGGCGTTCGCCACCCCGGCGGCCGCCGTGGAAGTCCGCGAGGACCTGCCCGTCGGGGCAGAGGTCATCCGAATGGAGGCCGAGGATTCGGACGACGGCTTCGAGGGGAAGCTGCTATACGCCCTGACGGACGACGGGGCGAGCGGCTTCACCGTGGACGCAGAGACTGGCATCGTGAGGGTCCTGGTGCCGCTTGACCGCGAGGCCGCCGCCTCCTACTCCATGAACGTCGTCGTCCACGACCTGGGGACGCCGCGGCGTTCTGCGAGCGCCACCCTCCGGGTCGTCGTCTTGGACGTCAACGACAACCGGCCGGAGTTCTCGCGGCGCGCCTACGCAGCCCGGGTGCCGGAGAGAGTGCGGCCGGGCCACGAGCTGCTCCGGCTGGAGGCCGCCGACGGCGACGAGGGCGACGCGGGCTCCGTGCGCTACCGCCTGCTGTCCGACACCGACCTCTTCCGCGTGGACGCCGAGACAGGCGCCTTGGAGGTGGCGGCGCCGCTGGACCGCGAGCGGCGCGCCGAGCACGCGCTGCTGGTGGAGGCGTCGGACCTGGCGCCGGAAGAGAGCCGCCTCTCTTCCGTCGCCGCGGTGATCGTGACGGTGGATGATGTGAACGACCACGCGCCCACGTGCGCGCCGAACCCCCTCCGCCTCCGTGTGCCCGAAGACGTCACGGTGGGGGCCGTCCTCGGCTGGCTGGACGCTCGAGACCCCGACGTGGGGCCGGCCGGGGAGGTGCACTACACGCTGGTTAGCGTGGACGGGGGGGACGGCACGTTCACGGTGCACAGGACGAGCGGGGCAGTGCGGCTGGCGCGGCCGCTCGACTTCGAGAGACGACGCCGCTACGACCTAAAGGTGGCCGCGCACGACAGCGACCCCAGGGGGCCACCGTCGACCATCTGCCGGGCGACGGTGGAAGTGACGGACGTGGACGAGAACAACCACGCCCCGCGGTTCGCGGATTCCATGGACAGCACACGCGTGCCGGAGGACGTCCCCATGGAGACCGCCATCTTCACCGCCACGGCCACGGACCACGATGAGGGTCTGGACGGGGAGGTGCGGTACTCCCTCGTGGGCGGATCCGACCTGGGGGTCTTCAACATTCATGTGGAGACCGGTAGACCACACCCACTACAACCACCACTACTACCCTCCTTCTCCCCGCTCCTCACGGTTCATGATGCTGGCTCACAGTTGATGACGCCGGCTGAAGGCTCACGCCGGCGCCCGTCTCTGCTGCGTGTCGTTCACGGCGTTTCGCGCCGGCAGGGGTGATTGTCACGACGCGGCCGCTGGATCGCGAGACGGTGAGGAGCTACTGGCTCGAAGTGCGCGCTACGGATCGCGGAGTCTTCCAACGCTTCTCCACACTGCACATCTACGTGGAGGTGCAGGTACGGAAATTCACGCGCACTCACACGTGCGTATGCACCGCTGCGTTTTAAAACGCCACGATGAGAGTACCGTGTGTGGTTCCCCCCCCCCCCCCTACCCAAGGACGTGAACGACAACCCCCCGTGGGTGTCGCAGACGTGGTACCAGGCCGACGCTATGGAGAACTCTCATTCCGTTATATTCCAAGTGAAAGCCTGGGACCCAGACAAGGACAGCGTGCCCCGGGGCAAGGGCCTCACGTTCAACATCGTTAGTGGAGACCCACAGGGAATGTTCACCATAAACAAAACGTCAGGTGCGGGCGGTGGTGGGGGTGGAGAGCAAATTCACAACATTTACAATTGTAGTGTATAGTGGACACTACACGACACTTCTATACACCACAGAACGTGCCAATTCATTACTAGTACAGCACTAACATACAGCAACATTTACTATCGACGCATTTCCATTTGACGCGATGTGACTCAACAGAGTCCGACATCACAGTAACGAGCTCCCCCCCCCACCGCGTGCGTGCATGTGCCGGCCGGCATATGGTTGTGGTTGACCTCCGGTGAACCGACTCGTCACAGGCGCCATATCTAACGTCCCCAACAAGTCGCTGGACAGAGAGACGCAGGCGGAGTACGAGCTGGAGGTGAGAGAGTCACCGTGAGGGTGGTGTTGGTAGTGATGGGGAGTCCCTGACCCTTCATGATGGTGAGCGGGCCCAGGTAAAACTACGTGGCCGAGAGTCGGAGCCGTTTCCGCGACAGGAATGTCCTCTGGCTCCTACAGTATTTTATCTAACCTACTAGCAGGAAGTATCTGGCGTTGCCCGGGTAAAACAAATTATTTCAAAACTTCTCTTAAAAACCTTACATATACATACACAGATACTAAGGTATTGTGAAAGCCCGGTGGGCCGTTTGTCCATTTCTCCACCAACAAAATTATAAGAGGCTTGCACAAGTCCAAAAAGTCATAGAAAGTGTGGGGTACATAGTTGATCTAAAAGGTTTCTGAAAATTGTCGACCCACCCCCTCAAAAAATATCTTTATCCCTGCGTAGGTATATAAACCTACACACCCTTAATACAATAGAGTAAGTAGTATCTCTTGCCTCTGTAGTTGTATCTACTGACTGTATAGTAGTATCTACTGAGCCAGTAGTAGCTACTGACTGTTTAGTAGTATTTAGTGACTGTAGTAACTACTGACCGTAGTAGTATCTTTTGGGCCTACAGTAGTATCTACCGACTTTATAGTAGTAACAACTAACTGTATAGTAGTATCTACTGACTGTGTCGTAGTATTTACTGACTGTAGCAGTATTTACTGACTGTAGTGGTATATACTTACTGTTAGTATCTACTAACTCTATATAGCAATATCTACCAACTGGATAGCAGTTTCTACTATCACTACAGGAGTGCATACTGGCTGTGGTTGGACCTGCTATGATTACAGCAGTACATACTGTGGTGGTTCCTGCTTTCACTACAGCAGTGCATACTGACGGGTGGTATCCTGCTATGACTACAGCAGTGCATACCGACTATGGTGGTTCTTGCTATGATGACAGCTTTCACTACAGTAGTACATGCTGACTCTATCTTATATATGAAAGGGAAATTTGTGAATGTGTGTCTGTTCGAATTGTTTAGCATACTTGCCGACATGCAACCAACTTACTGTATATTAAACGAGAATATGCGATTCTAAAGAAATCTACAGTCTTCGATTCCTTTGCGCGAGATTCTTGGTGCGCTCAGGTTGAATTTAAAATGACTGAGTTATATATTTTCATTGGTATGTTATGTTTTTAAGTTTTCAGAAGTTTTAAAATATATTTTTGCCCCGGGCAACGCTGGGTATATCGACTCTATAGCACAAAGTCCTCACCTGACAAGTGTGGCGTGTTGAGGCCTAGTACCGTGCAGAGCCCCCGGCCTCGCCTAGATTGCCCCCCCCGCCCCCGCGCTAGAATAATCGTGTAAAGGCGCGATAATTTTAGTATCTACCGACCCTATAATAGTAATTGCACACATTGGGGTGGGGGGGGGGAGAGAAGAGCACGTGACACTTTGATGAATTTACCTCGGCGTCGCGTGTACATTTTGTTTGCATTTAGAAGGTGAATGAGAAATGGCGTCCACCCTGCAGCGACGGCGTGCGCGCCCATTGTCAGGGGCAACTCGCGTCAGCGTTTCGCGCATGCGCAATGGCGTGCTTTGTCGCGAGCCGGTCGGCAAAAGTAAATTACTAAATTAAGATAGATCGCACCAAAACGCGATTTTAACCACTTTTAAGGTGAAGGATGGGAAAACGAAATGGCCTATTCCCACTGTGGGGCCCGGGGCGTGCCCCCCGGCAAATTTTTTTCGACGTCAACCCCACGGTCCGAGAGCCAAATCCCCCGCAAGTGAGCGTATGCAGACAGACAGACAGAGACAGACAGACCAAAAATGCCTTTTATAGGTTAGATAGCGTATGTGGGGATAATGGGAAAATGTCGTTCGTCGCCAAACAAATGGCAGAGTCGTGTCGGTGGGGGCCAAGTCGACTCTGGGAATCGACACCGAAGCGTAGGTTTGCAGTGGCCCCTGCATGAAAACGACGGAAAGTGCAGCGTTCATCACAGATAGGTAAAGTCGTGCGCTTATTTATATAAATGGCTGTTATTGCGACCACGTCTTTATGCGCGAGGGAATGACACTTATGCAGACGTTTTCTCTTTAAGAATAGCTACTTTTCTAAATATCACTGTCCTGCTCACAAAACAACTACTTTGAGGGGAATCATCGCGTTTCCTGTACTCTGGAGGAACCAGCAGCCACCTCATATCACTGCACTGAATGCTATTATTACGTCTTCTTCATTCTAACATATTTACACTTGCCCCCTCAGTACGGGGGATTGAGCGGCGACATGTCAATTATGCTTAATTGGTGCACATCAGCTCATAGTTACGGGTAGGATAAGTTGAATTTTTTTTTCCGTTGACTTTAATTTATTTACCGATTTATTTATTTTTTTGCTCGCGCAAAATGTTTGCACAAAAATGTTGGGACACCATCGCCCTCGCTCTGAATTACTCATGGCACACGCCTGCATTTCCCCACCTTGCTTCTTTCACTTAAGTCACGCAGATAGAAAACTATTATTTTAAAAGTTAGTAAATATGAAAGTAATGTGTGTGCGAGTCCATATACGTGTGCGTCGTATGAGTGTACAAGTCGATGTGTGTGTGTGTCTTTTTCGCCCAGGCAACGCCGGGTACTTTTAACATCTATTTCGACCATGTAGTTTGAAGCCTTCAATAGCTATACCGGAGGAATTTCCATCTGGTACAGATACGATGAAAGGCTGATCGATGCCCAGGTGCGGTCAAGGGATGGCTCACTATTGGTCAACCGCGTTATGTATGCCGATGATCTGGTAATTGCTGCTCGCTCAGAGGAGGAGTTGGAGGCACTGCTGCTGAACCTGGAGCTTGCCACTAAGAGGTGTGGCCTTACCATCAGCCCCATCAAAACTAAGCACCTGCCTGGGTTTTTTGTACCATCAGACATTCCACCCCCACAACAATTGGTGATAGGGCAGTTGTGGGTTGGAGAAGAGATGGAGTGATGTGGTGTAGGAGAATGTGGAGCTGTGTGGACTTGGTACCAGAGGTGTCAAGATCGGCCTCTGTGGAGGAGGCTCGTGAAGGACGCTACTGGGCAGTTGGAGGCAGTCCCCCTCCAACAACAACGGAGGGCGGAGGAGCGATGCTCAACATCGAGCGGAGTGCCGGGTGGCTAAAGCACAGCAAGTGGGCACATGTTGTGCATCAGCCAGTCAGTTGACCCATGGCACCTGCTGGGTTTGCCCCGTGACCTCGTGTTAGCAGGCGTTCGATGCTTCACGTGGCCTGAACGTGCACGTGCACTTAGCCTGGCACAAGCATCGTGGTGATGTCACCGCCACTTAGTGGCTGAATGGCGGTTGTTGTTGTCCATGTGTGTCTGTGCGTGCATCCGTCCCACCGGTGCCAGGTGTCCATCGTGGATACCGGCGTGCCCCCGCGTGAAACGAGGGTGGCGTTGTCGGTGAACGTCTTGGACAGAAACGACCACACCCCACGCTTCCCCAGGGACCTCCAGCACGTCTACGTGGTGGTGGCGGATGACGAAACGGAGGTGGAAATCGCACGTTTCTATGCCACCGATGCCGACTCGGGCGACAACGCCAGGATAGCGTACGACATATCGCCACAAATAAAATATCGCGTGGACAGCTATCAAGGAATCGGAATCCTCTTCACCCGGAGAAACTTGCACCGTGCGGGGACATCCGACACCATGGAGGTCAGGGGCATACTCCATCCTCCACCCTGTTCCCCCCGCATCCCGCTTCCTCCCTCCTCCACACGCAGACACACATGATGATATCACCCCGACCTCTTATCACCGCGATGATTCGACCGCGAAACGGAACTCTCCAATCTCTGTTGCCGGCCCCGCAGCTCACCGCCATGAACATGGATTTGGACGCAAGAAAGGTGTCTACCAAACTGCGTGTGAATTGGGTCGCCACTCCTCTGCCGCCGGAGACGCCCCCGGCCTTCGCCCAGAGTCGGCACGTGGTCACCGTGGCGGAGACGGCCACCGTGGGCTCCGTGGTGATCGCCCTGCCCACGCAGAGCACGGCGGGGAGCCTCCTCTGGTTCAACATCACAGGTCACGTGGTGCCACCACACACCTCCCCCCACCCCAACACACCCCAACCCATCACAACCCACATCATGATGTGTTAACGGTGACATGATGATGATGATGGGGTTAACGGTGACATCATGATGATGGGTTAACGGTGACATGATGATGATGGGTTAACGGTGACATCATGTTGATGGGTTAACGGTGACATGATGATGGGTTAACGGTGACATTATGATGGGTTAACAGTGACATGTTTATGGGGTTAACAGTGGCATCATGTTGATGGGTTATCGGTGACATCATGATGATGGGTTAACGGTGAAATCATGATGCTGGGCTTAACTTTGACATGTTGATGGGTTATCGGTGACATGATGATGGGGTTAACGGTGACATGATAATGATGATGGGTTAATGATGACATGTTGATGGGTTAACGGTGACATGTTGATGGGTTAACAGTGACATGATGATGATGACGGTAGGGGCACCGCGTGTTGACAGGCGGTAACGTGGAGGACCGCTTCTATGTGACGCAACATGGCGGTGTTGTGGAGTTGGCCCAGCCGCTGGATGCCGAGCAGCGCACCTCCTACGAGCTCACCATCAGGCTCACCGACGGGACCAACGCTGCAACCACCCTGGTGGGCGGGCACGCGTGTCTGTCTGTGTGTGTGTCTGTCTCTGTGTGACTGTGTGTGTCTGTCTGCGTGTGTGTCTGTCTCTGTGTGACTGTGTGTGTCTGTATGTGTCTGTCTCTGTGTGACTGTGTGTGTCTGTCTGTGTGTGTGTCTGTCTCTGTGTGACTGTGTGTGTCTGTGTGTGTCTGTCTCTGTGTGACTGTGTGTGTCTGTCTGTGTGTGTGTCTGTCTCTGTGCGACTGTGTGTCCGTCTGTGTGTGTGTCTGTCTCTGTGACTGTGTGTCTGTCTGTGTGTGTCTGTCTGTGTGTGTGTCTGTCTCTGTGTGACTGTGTGTGTGTCTGTCTGTGTGTGTCTGTCTCTGTGTGACTGTGTGTGTCTGTCTGTGTGTGTCTGTCTCTGTGTGACTGTGTGTGTGTCTGTCTGTGTGTGTCTGTCTCTGTGCGACTGTGTGTGTCCGTCTCTGCGGGTGACGTGGTGACGTCACGAGGCAGGGGACGGCCGCGGTGGCCACGTGAGACATGCCTGGGGCATCGTCACCTCTGACCACTTCCTCCTCACCGCCACCCACATCACCGCTGTACTCACCCCTGCTACCCTTGCCCCCCCACCCCCCGCTAGGTGGAGGTGACGGTGCTGGACGTGAACGACAACCGGCCCCGTTTCTCCCGTGGCCGCTACAATGCGACCGTCGCCGAGGACTCTCCTGGCGCCGTCGTCAGCCTCCGGATGGAGGCGACCGACGCCGACGCCGGCGACGCCGGCCAGTTATCCTTCTCGCTCGTTGGCTTAGGCGGCAATAACGCCGCCGAGAGCGTGCGTCTGTTCCGCATTAACCCCGTCACCGGCAAGGTCACAGCTGCCGTGGCGCTGGACCGAGAGGCCAAGCAGAGCCACGTACTCACCGTCATGGTGAGGGGGCGCCACGCCGGGTGTGTCTTTGTGCGCACCGAACGTAGTCGACTGCTGAATCGAAGGTGCCGACGATGATTGTGACGACGACGATAACGACGACGCCGTGACCATCGTCTTGCGTGGTGACCATAGTGTACTGCATAGTAGCGTGTAGTGTAGTTTGTCATGTAAACAAACCGTGTCACCGATCGCTACGTTTTGTTAAGGTGACGCCAAACCTTGCCGATCGGCCGTGTCGGGCGGCGGTGGCGCAGTTTGACGGCACTGCAGCGCCGGTAACGTCGCACGCGACCAGCACGACGTGCCTCCGCCGCGGATGGCGTCGGCCGCGAAAGCCTCCTCCTGTCCGGGGGGCGTTCGAAGCAAGCACTCCCCTCGGCTCTCACTCTCTCACACTCTCTCACACTCTCACACACTCTCACACACTCTCTCACACTCTCTCTCACACTCTCTCACACTCTTACTCTCTCTCCCCCTCTCTTACTCTTTTTTACAATCGGAGGAGGATGGTCGGTTTAGTCGGCACTTCTTTTAGTTCATTTCGGTTTCTTTGTTTTTTGTTTTGTGCTTTCCCCCCTTTTAAATGAAAGATTTTACGTGTTTTACCATTGTGCAACAAAATCAATCTGTGCTACTTTTTTTGTGGACGCAAAGATCAACACGAAGAAGCACGCTCTGCTCCTGCTCCCATACCCCTCTCTCTCTACCTCCCCCACCTCGCGCTACTTTCTCCCTGTTCCCCCTGTTTTCAACTACGAAAAGTGCTACATCTTCACCCAGCGCTCCTCGCAGTCCTGTGACATCCGACGGCAGCTCGTATCTGCACGCGGAGCTCTCTGCTCTCCGTCTTCTTCCGCCGGTCACACGGCCTTGTCCAGCGTCCACTGCTCCATGAAGGCCGGCACGGCGTGGATCGGCCACACCCTGGCACCGACCAGCACGATAGATGCTCGGGCTGCTGGCCGGACCACCTTCCTCACCCTGTATATGCCGAGCTTGGCAAAGCCGACGAATACGCTGACCGGCCCCTGAAGATGTTGGGATCCATGGCCCTTGGGGGTGTCCAAAGATGAGGACCGTTGAGGACCGTTGAGGAGAAATGGAAGCTGAACCTTAGGAGGATGTTTCTAAGGACCTTACTCTGTCACTCACTCTCTCCCGCGCGAGCAGGTGCAGGATGCCAGGATCCCCGTGAGGCGAGCGTACACCACGGTGGTGGTGAGCGTCATCGATGGCAACGACAACTGGCCCCTCTTCAACAGCTACCCCTACGAGGCCTACGTGGCGGAGTCGGCGGCCGTGGGCTCCGCCGTGATACGCGTCGTGGCGTTCGACTGCGACGACGGCCCCAACGCCAACTTCAGCTACAGCTTCAAATCCGGTGACCACTTCACCACCACTCCCTGTCCCGCCGCCACTCCCATCCCACCGCCGCCACTCCCACCCACCCGGGGGGAGTTTTTCTGCACCGGGGCACATTTCCAGCATTGTGGTTTCTTCGTGGCGACGCTCTGTCGCATCTCTCTCCCCGAGCGAGTCGCGGGTCCAACTTGGATCGCTGGGGGGGGGGGCCAGGCAGCCGACGGGGCGCCGAGGCTTCCCCCGCGTCGTTTGTCCTCGACAGCTCCTTTCGGTTTTGACGACGCGAACTCGCGTACGTCCGACGACGACGATTCAAGACGCCCTCCGAATTCTCCTGACAGGAAACGTGGGGAATTCCTTTGCCGTCCACCACACGCTGGGCGTCGTCTCCGTGGCGCGGAAGCTGGACGGTTCCGTGGTGGAGAGCTACGAGCTGATGGTGAGGGCGAAGGACCACGGGCGCCCGCAACGCTCCACGGTCGCCACCGTCCGCATCGTCGTCAACGCGTACGGCGTTCCCCCCAAATTCGCCTTCGGAGACGGCGGCGGCTCGGCGGAGGTCGCCGAATGGGCCGCGCCCGGGAGCTTCGTGCTCGCGGTGAGCGCCTCCAGCTGGTCGACGGTCACCTATGAAATACGGGAGGGCGATTCCGAAGGCGCCTTCGACATCCACCCGACGTCCGGGGTCGTTGCCACCAAACGGCCGCTGGACCGCGAGCGGACGCCGTCGTACCGGCTGACGGTGCGGGCCACGGACGCGGCGGGCCTCTCGACGGACACGTCGGTGTCGATCCGCGTGCTCGACGAGAACGAGAACGCGCCCGTCTTCGACCGCCCGCGCTATCGCGGGGCCGTCAGCGAGGAGGCGTCGGCGGGAACCCTGGTACTGGACCCCGACGGCGTCCCGCTCGTCATACGAGCCGCCGACGCGGACGACGGCGAGGGGCCCGCGACGGTCGCCTATCAGATCGTCGAGCGCGAAGCCAGAAAGTACTTCTCCGTCGACCCGCGCACGGGGGCCGTCAGGACGGCCGGGGCCCTCGACCGCGAGACGACGGCCGAGTTCCGCTTCCGGGTGGCCGCATCGGACGGCGGCAGCCCGAGGCTGTCCGCCGAAACGCCGGCCGAGGTGACCGTCACCGTGCTGGACGCCAACGACTGCCCGCCGGCGTTCTCGACGGCCGCGTATGAGACGGCGCTGATCGTGCCGACCCTCGCCGGCGTCCGCCTGCTGACCCTGGCGGCCTCCGACCTGGACGTCGGCGCCGTGTTGACCTACCGCGTCGCCTCGGGAAACGTCGGCGGTGCGTTCGCCGTCGACGCGCGCACCGGGAACGTCGTGGTGCGGAACGCCTCCCTCCTCGCCGCCGGCTACGACCTGCGGGTCGAGGTGTCCGACGGGAGGTTCTCGAGCGCCGCGCGGGTGAAGGTCTCCGTGCTGGAGGCGGTCGACGGCAGGCTGCGGGTTCCGCCAAAGTACTCGGCGCGCGTCCCCGAGAACAGCACGGCGATCGTCGTAGTCGCCGTGGTCGTCGCGACGGGGGGAGATCTCAACGAGCCGCTCGTCTTCGGCTTGCTCGACCCGAGCGGCGCGTTCCGGATGAGGCCGACGGCGGGCGTCCTGGAGACGGCCGGCGTCGCGTTAGACAGGGAGGAGCGCGATCGCTACGAGCTGCTGGTGGATGTGAGGGACGGCTCCCGGGCGCGCCCGAGCGTCGCTCACACCGTGGTCGAGGTGGACGTCGAAGACGTCAATGACAACGCCCCGGCGTTCGTCGGCCTGCCGTACCGCGCCGTCGTTAGGGTGGCGGCGGCTTGGGGGAGCGCCGTGCTCACCGTGGCGGCCCTCGACCGGGACGTCGGCGAGAACGCCAGGGTGAGGTACTCCTTGAGGGATGGCCACGATGGCCGCTTCGTCATCGATCGCTCCGGCGGCAACGTCTCGCTAAGGAGGAGATTCGCCCCGGACGCGTCGGGCAAGGACTTCGTCGTGACCGTGGTGGCGACGGATTGCGGGGTTCCTCCGCTGTCGTCCGCGGTCGACGTCACGGTCACGGTGCTCGACGAGGACGCGCCGGCGTTCGAGAGCCTCTCCCACGTCGCGTGGGTGCCCGAGGACGTCGTGCCGCCCGCGCCGATCGCTCACGTCCGCGCAACGGCTCCGGGGGGCCCGCCTCTCGTTTTCTCCATTGTCGACGGCGACCCCTTCGACCAGTTCTCCGTCGACTTCGGCACGGGCGTCGTGAGCGTCGTCGGCCCTCTGGACCGCGAGACGCGGGCCAACTACCGCCTCGCGGTGCGGGCCGCATCCCCGGCGACGGGCCTGTACGCCGACACGAGCCTGGACGTCGTCGTCGGGGACGTCAACGACAACCGGCCGCTCTTCGCGCGGGGCGCTTACGCCGCCACGCTGTCCGAATTCGCGCCCCCGGGGACCTCCGTCGTCCAGGCGAGAGCCGCCGACGCCGACTCGGGCTCCAACCGGGCGCTCCGCTACGAGATCGTGGACGACGGGGAGAAGGGCGGCGAGGGATTCCACGTGGACCCGGACGGCGGGCTGGTCGTGACAACGGCGCCCCTGGATCACGAGCGAAGCCGGCTTCATCGTTTCTCGGTGCGGGCGACGGACGGCGGCTCCCCTCCCCTCGCCGCCTACGTTCCGGTGACCGTCACCGTCGAGGACGAGAACGACAACGCCCCGGTGTTCGAGCGGCCGCTGTACGAGGCGTCCGTGAACCGGCTGGTCTTGGCCGGGCACTTCGTGGCCGCGCCGAGGGCGTTTGACGCCGACGCGTCGGACGCCCACCGGCTCCGATACGCCATTGTCTCCCCCTCCAGGGACGACATTCGTGAATCATATCGCGACATCGAGACCAGCTTCGCGATCGACGTCGAGACAGGCGTCGTCTCCGTCATCGGCGACAGCCTGCGATTAGGCCTCGGCAAGGTAAGGTAATTTACCTTTTTTACCGGGTAAAATGGTAAAGGCTAAAGGTGTCGACATGCCAAGGGGTAAGGTAGTTTAAAGGTAGCTCGGAAGAATTACCCGATAGGGTAAAGATAGAGCGAAGTATTACCCGGTAAATACGGTGCCTTGTTTACTGCTAAAAGCTCCGTGGCGCAGTCCGTGGCCTTCATTGAATAAGTCATATTTTTTAAAAACTTTTTTAAAACACGCTGTTATGAAATGTACCGTAGAAGTAATGTAAGAACTCCAGGAAGTGGCCCCGAAGCTTGCCACAACGTAAGGGGCCGTGGCCAATTACAGCCAACGTCAGTTGACAGTGGGCAATTAGACCCAAGCCGAAACACAACATATAAAAAATAATGTTTAAAAATATTTTATTTTATTTTTAATGATAGTATATAGTATTGTCATCAGTATGACATAAGTATACCAAGTTTGCAGTCGAAACCACATTGGGAAGTAGGTTAAAATTGAGTTAAAAGATTTGAGGCTACAACAATGACAACAACAGAGTGAGTTAATAGAAAGCGTGTAAAATTGGAATAATCGAGAATATTCTATATGATAAAAGCGCTCTACCTAGCATTTACCTGTTTTAAACCTTTTTCATGTGTAGTACCCCAGTAATTACTACCCTGTAATCGGGTAATTTGTATGGGGTAAGGGTAAAAGGTAGGGTAAAGGTAGGCTCGTTGCTTTTAACCTTTTACCTTACCTGCTGAAGGGTAAAAGGTAGGGTAGAGTGATTGTATTGTGGTAAGGTAAAAGGTTGGGTAAAGGTAGGCTCGTTGTTTTTACCTTTTACCTTACCTTGCCGAGACCTACCTGCGATGGCAGCTGCCCGCCCTCTACCGCTTCCGGGTCTCGGTCACGGACGGAACGTTCGTCAGCGTAGCCACGGTGGCGGTCGACTTGCTGCCCGCCTTCGAGTGGCCCAAGTACGCGATGGAGATCCCCGAAAACTCAGAGGCAGGGACCCCGGTGGTCTTGCGGCGGGCCATGGACGCCGACGCGAGCGGGCGCATCTTAGGGAGGGCGCCCCCCGCCGAGGTGATCTTCGCCACGGGCTACGCCAACGACCGCCCCCCGCGGTTCTTGGACTCGGTGGTCTACGTCCGCGTGCCGGAGGACGCGGAGCCCGGCCTGGCGTTGGCCGTCATCCGGGCGGACGACGCGGACGCCACGTCAGAACACCTGCGGCTTACGTACCACCTGACGGGTAGTGTATAGTAGTTAGTAGTGTATAGTGTAGTATACCGGTACAGCACGACACACGTTGCGTTGGAGAGTGAACCCACCGCTACATTTACAGTCGGCTGCGGAGACCCCCCACGTTAAACCGACTCTCGTCGTCAAACTCTCGGTCACATTCTTTGGGTCTTTCGGTAAATGAAAAAATTATAATAATAAAATATCATGACGTTTCGATCGCAACACAAGCAATCGTCATCGTGAGAGAGAAATTAAAACTCCCTGTCCGTCACGACGGCGATCGCCGACCGCGTCCTACCCACCGCAGGCGGCGACCCGCTGGGCCACTTCTCCCTCGGCCCCGTCAACATGGGGGGCGAGTGGACGCTGCGCCTGGAGCGGCCGCTCGACCGCGAGGAGAAGGAGTACCACATCTTGCAGGTGACAGCCACGGACTGCACCTACGCGAGGACGGTCGTCGTGGTCGTCATTGTGCTGGACGTCAATGACAATGACCCCGTGTGTGACAAGGTACCGGTGGCCGTAGACTCGCCGCACAGACCCACACACTATAACGACCACCGCCATTCGCCACTAAGTGGTGGTGACGTCACCACTAATACGTGACCTCACCACTAATACCAACACCACTACAAACACTAATACCACCACCACTACTACCACGACTACCACCACCACTACTACCATACTACTGCTGTGCCCCACGGTGCCCCCCCAGCTGTGGTACAACGTCACCGTGCTGGAGGATGTCGCGCCAGGATTCTTCATGCTGAGCGTTTCCGCCCGTGACTCCGACCTCGGCCCTAACGGCACCGTCAGATACTCGCTGCACGACGCCGGAGCAACGCCCTTCCGCTTGCACCTCGTCAGCGGTAACACTTATCCTGTCACTCGCATAGTCACACTCCTCTCACACCCCTCTCACTCTCATAGTCGTTAGGGTCGGGATCGAACCCACGACCTCCTGCGTACCAGGCGTGGTAGTCAACATCTCATGGCAACCGTGGTGATGATGATGAGAGAGACACAAACTCAAAATTTACAGCCGGGGTCGGGGTCGGGATGGAACCCACGACCTCCTGCGTACCAGGCGAGGTAGTTATCATCACCACAGTGGCCATGAGATGTTGAGAGACGCAAACTCCAAATATACAGCAGCAGGCATCGTCGGGGTCGGGATGGAACCCACGACCTCCTGCGTACCAGGCGAGGTAGTCAACATCTCCTAACCATCGTGGTGATGATGATGAGAGAGACGCAAACTCCAAATATACAGCAGCAGACATCGTCGGGGCCGGTGTTGTATATGTGGTGTGTGAAATTTTTTAATTTGCATAATGTATCCGAAATTATGTTAATTATGCATATAAATTATGCTAATTTGAGAGATTATTGTGTTAGTTTATGCGAGTGGGTGTGGTTATGTTAATGACAGCCTTTATGATAATCAGCCCCCGCCTCGTAGACGAGGTGGGGTTATCAATCTGGATAATGCAATCAATCGTATGCAGTTATGCTAGTGTCAACTCGGCTTCGTTGTCTAAATTCGTATTATCGATCAGTGTAATGCAATTATTCTCGCTTTAACGTTTACTGAGTGAATTAGTGTGTTTATATTTTAGGTCCCCAAGTTCATATCTTGTCGCAGGATACAGTCCTTATGCAAAAATTATAGAAAAGAATCACACGACCGCTTCTGCATTAATCAATTTATTTTCTAATTAAACCTTAACTCTAACATAGTATGTGACTCTCAATCTCGGAATTTTTAACACTGTATCAATACAGTATCATCAACATCTGTATGATTTCACTTTGACAATGGCACATGGATTCCTTTCCCCGCATGACGCGAGCCATTGTAGAGATAGAAATTTAAAACATGCATATAATATTCGAACCAAAAACCTTCACTTATAATATGCAAGTTCATATATTTGAACTTATATATATAGCCCACACCGTCCTGCATTCATTTATAGTTCCATAAGCAATTCTTGCAGGCAATTCTTATCCATTGTTTCCCTTTTGGTATCGGAGCTATTAATTCTTATACAGCATAACACGAGCGTATAGAAAATATGAATAAAGTCCTTAAGATTATGCGACGGTATTCATACGAAAGACAATCAAAAAGTTATTTCCATTCCTAAAGGCACGAATATACGTTCATAGATTCATCAGCGATGTTGTATAATTAAGAGATGGCTTGGTGTGCGGCGGGACGTGCTTCTCACGGGAGATTAATTAATTCGTTCCGACCATGGATGAACTCGTCCGTCTGAACGGGCTCGTAGCTATCCGTGGTGCTAAAGTTCAGGGTAAGAATCCACCCATTTTTTTCGCCATATAGCATTGTGATATGGTAGCTTAGCTGATTGGAGAATATATAGAGTTTATTGATAACATTGAGGTAATTTATATTTTAGTTTTTTTATTGGTTTACTATATAGTATTCATTATATAGTGTAGTGTATACCCAGTTACTGTGAATAGCTCAGATGTGAAGGCTGTGACTTTAACATAGCCGTTTCTCTGACCAGTCACAAGCTAATCACTCAGTTATTTCAATGCTAAATTCTCCTAGTTATTTCAATGCTAAATTCTCCTGTTTGATTTGTACTAGGTGCCTCTGTGAATGTGTATGCTTTGAATTTAACATAGCCATTTCTGTGACCAGTCACAAGCTAATCACTGAGCTATTTCAAAGCTAAATTCTATGCTAATTCCTTTGTCAAGGGGTGCCTCTGTGGATGTGTATGCTTTGACTTTAAAATAGCCATTTCTGTGACCAGTTAAGCTAATCACTCAGCTATTTCAATGCTAAATTTTATGCTAATTCCTTTCTCAAGGCGCTTTGTTTCTTTTCACACAGCTTAAAGGTCGCGATCTGAGCGTGGCTTTGTTCGCTCCAGCACTGTCCTCCAGACAGTCTCGTCCCTTCACCTGATGAAGGCCGCTTGTGTTGTGGCCTAAACGTCGTGAGAATTTCATTGTGTTATTTTATTTTATCAATTTATTATTTTATTCTCATTCTACGTGACTTTACCGAAAGAACCAAAGAAGATGAATCCTTGCCGTCACGAAAGCTTTAAATCGAAATAAGTCGTTATATATCACAATGCTATATGGCGAAAAAATGGGTGGATTCTTACCCTCAACTTCAGCACCACGGATAACTACGTGCCCCGTTCAGACGGACGAGTTCATCCATGGTCGAAACGGAGAAGGGGGAGAGAGACAGCTGCGAGGCGCTGTTATACTCCATGTTGTAAATCATACCATTAACCGTGGTGTGAGAGGTATTAAGAGTCAATGCCAGCGAAAGAGCTGCGGTCAAGGTCATCGTAAAATACAATTAATTAAGAACCGAAATGGTTTAAAACATCTTTCCAATGGTTACTAAGCCAGAATCCATCTTCTCGGTTGAAATTGTCTCTGTGCTTGTATATGTCAATTGCCTCATGAACGAATCTCTCATGGTAGCCGGTTGGTTTGCAAAGAACCTCCGTCTTGGAGAAGTCAATGTCATGTGAGCCCACTGAATTATAACAGTGATCAGCCACGGCAAAGGAGTTCGTTCTACCCTGTTACAAGTCTGCTTTATGTTCCCGGATGCGGTCCAAGATATGTCGTTTGGTTTCTCCAATGTAGCTACTACCACAGAGGCACTTTAGTTTGTAAACGCCCGGGTACTGTATGTCTGGAACTGCATCTTTTACAGATGGAACCAGATCACGGATTTTATGTACTGTGTTGAATCGGACCTGGATCTTTTTTGTGACCCCTGCAATGTAGAAGGCCACTTGTGTTGTGGCCAAAACGTCGTGATAATTTTATTGTGTTATTTTATTAATTTATTATTTTATTCTCATTCTACGTGACTTTACCGAAAGAACCAAAGAAGATGAATCCTTGCAGTCACGAAAGCTTTAAATCGAAAAATAGGTTGGCGTAGGTCGAGCAGTTGACACGCTGTTGCAGTTGTGGAACTCGGTCGGTAGATGGCGCACGCAGCTTGCTCGCAGCGTGCTCGGTGGTGTTGTAGAGTGTTGACACCGGTTGCGCAATCGGCGCTGGCGATGCACGTTCGTTGCATTACTACTTTTGATGATGCTGACTCGCACCATGTAGCCTCGTCGGACGAACTCAGTTGAGGTGATGATCTCCTTGCTGGTGAGCTGAGGAGCTGAGGAGCTCCGTTGAGGAGCTCCGTTGATGAGTTCCCCCGAACTGAGGTTTCAATGCTGCAGTGTCCTCTTTTATGCCAAAATCCTTCCTGTTGGCTCCTCCCCACCAGGTGGGGCTTCTTTTGATTTAGCGGTGTGTCATGGTCTGGAGCGCGTGTCCGTATGCGTGTCCGTATGTGTGTCCATCCGTATGTGTGTCCTTGTCTGCGCCATATGTTGTCCTCTTTCTATAAACCACCAAAAGTAAAACAAACATGTTACAAACCGTCTCGAAGGCGTCTCTCTGTCTGCCGGTGCGAGAGGGAGGGCAAGCTTCCCTCCCTGCATGTCATATTCCCGACACACAAAGGAATGGTTAAGGTCTAAAGTTAACACTTATCCCTCACAGTTTGGTATCGCACCACCCGCAGCCATGATTCTGTATGTAACCCAAGGTCTGTGTCAGCTTTCCATTGTGGTATTTGACTCATGTCAAGGGAAGGTGTTTTCCCGAGCGTATGCACACTCCTACCCCGCGCTGCTGGGAGACAAAGACGGCCGGGATCTCTTTCTCTCTCTGACCCTGGGTTTAACATCACTTAAGTCATGTAGTTTATGTTTAACAAAGTTGTGTAAGCGGAGTATAGTTTACGGTGAACAGCGTTAGCATTAATGTTATGTATGAAATTTTGTATTGTGATTTTTTTTTAACTTAACTTTGCCTGGTGTCTTGGCTGACACGCTGCCATTCCAAGCATCTCTTCCCCCCGCCCTTGGGTTTTCCAGGCTCTTTAGCTTACGTTTGCAGTTTTGCTGTGCGCTTGTTTTTTCCTCTCTAACCTTATATTAACTCTACTTATTATGTCTGGAGGTTAGAGAATTCATTTAGACTTAGGAAAATTCTTATTGTCATATGCTTCGGGTCAAGTTGTATAGAAATGATTAAAATATGGAAATAACATTTCATATTGAATTAATAGATGGGTGATGGTTCCATGATATAGCTTGTGGTCTGGTTGCCAATTGGAGTGAGCGTGAGGGTCGATAATTTAGCCTATTCCTGTTGTTGAATTTCGAACTGTACGTTACTTTAATAGTAATGCAGGATAAATGGTTGGCTGTTTGGCTTGGCTGTCTGCGGCTAGCACAAACTCTCAGTGACCCTGGCTTTGTGTTTACGTCAGTCTCTTGCAATTCGCTGCTCTGCACTCTGTCTGTTCCCTTGACCCTGGGAGTTTGTAACTGTCAAAATCATGTCAGTAGGTCATGGTAAATGGCTTTTCCATGACCTCCACATACCATGCTGAGGGCCTGGGTTGGTGTTGTTTTTATTCATTATATAAAAAAAACAATAGAAATATGCATCTATATGTATGGGAAAATTACTTGTTAATATTAAGATGGAAAAAGGGCCTATATACAACATCGGGATGGAACCCACGACCTCCTGCGTACCAGGCGAGGTACTTAACATCTAGCCATCGTGGTGATGATGATGAGAGAGACGCAAACTCCAAATTTACAGCAGCAGGCGTCGTCGGGGTATGGATTGAACCCACGACCTCCTGCGTACCAGGCGAGGTAGTTAACATCTCTTGTCGGCGTGGCCCCGCGTAGGGAAGCTCTTTACGCGGGCGCCGCTGGACCACGAGGCCGCCCCGGTCCACGCGCTCACCGTGGTCGCGAACGACCGGGGCGGCCGCTCCTGCCGGGCGGAGGTCCTCGTGAGGGTGGAGGACATGGACGACTCGGCCCCGCGCTTCCTCGCGGGGTCGCCCCCCCGTGCCGTCGCCCTGCGTTGGCGCCACGCCGGCGTGGGGACGGCGGTGACGAGCGCGCGCGCCGTCGACTCCGAACTGGGTACGGTGACGACGAAGTTGACGATGACGACGAAGATGATGACAATGACGACGATGACGTACACACACACACGTGAGTGTGTACATTATGGGGAGCGGTGGTGTAGCGGTTAGCGCTACGCCGCGCTACGAACCCGGCGACCGGGGTTCGATTCCCGCTCACGGCCAACACCAGTGACGATTATCTAAACCGGTCCCGGGCCTCCCCTAGGTCGACTCAGCCTCAAATGAGTACCTGGTGCGGTGTGTAAACATCGCCAGTAGGGAGGCAAAGGCGGCCGGGCGTGGTGCTGGCCAACCACCCACTCGAGTGCCACAGTGCCGGCCTTTATAGGTGCTACTCGCTGACAGCACTTGCCCCAAAAGTCTGAGGCTACACGTGGGATCTTTAGCTTTGGCGATCTGGACACATTCCCATCGGTGAGCTCCTCCAGCAGGCAAGGCTGCGTTGGCTGGGTCATGTGGCCTGCATGCCCAGCCACCGCATGCCGAAACAGCTTTTGTTCGGCCGGATCGAGGGGGCTAAACGGGCGCGGCACGGGCTAGAGAAGAGATGGAGTGACGTGGTACAGGAGGACGTGGAGCTGAGTGGACTTGCCGATGACCGGTACCAGCGGTCTCGAGATCGGCCTCTGTGGAGGAGGCTCGTGAAGGACGCTACTGGGCAGTTGGAGGCAGTCGCCCTCCAACAACAACGGAGGGCGGAGGAGCGACGCTCACAACAACGAGCGGAGCGCCGGGTGGCTAAAGCACAGCAAGTTGGCACAGTAGGCGGTACAGGTGGTGCTTCAGCCAGTCATCTCGGTCATCTCAGTCAGTCGACCCGTGGCACCTGGGTCTGCCCCGTGACCTCCTGCCAGCGGGCGTTCGACACTTCACTTGACTGCCTCAAGGTGCACATTGCCTGGCACAAGCGCCATGGTGACGCCACCGCCACTTAGTGGCGAATGGCGGTTGTTGTGTGTTTTAGGCCGCCGCCGCAGGGTGACTCACTTTCTGCTGGACTCGGCCGGCTACCGCTTCGCCATCGATGTCCGTTCGGGCCTCATCGTCGTCAAGCGTCCGCTGGAGCGCCGTGCCCTCTACAACCTCACGGTGCTCGCCCGCGCCGGGGGGGGGGGCTCGGCGCCTTCCGCCACCGCGGCGATTTCCGTGTCCCTCCGTGACGACGATGACGTCGCCACCCCGGCGTTCCGGCGGCCGGCTTACCGCGTCACCGTGCCGGAGGACGCGGCGCCGGGCACCACGGTCGTCACCGTGGCGGCCACCTTCGGCGGGGCGGGCGCGCCGAGCTATGGCATCGCCAGCGGCAACGAGCTCGGGGCGTTCGGGATCGACCGGAGGCTCGGTGAGAGACGCGGCACGGGGCACAGACGGCGGCCCTCTTGGGTCTCTGTCTCCCATAGAATCACGCAGAGGTGCGTTTTGTGTGTGTGCTGTGTGTGTGCTGTGTGCATGCTGCGTGCGTGCTGTGTGCGTGCTGTGTGAGTGCGTGCTGTGTGTGTGCTGTGTGTGTGCTGTGTGTGTGTGTGTGCTGTGTGCGTGCGTGCTGTGTGCGCTGTGTGCGTGCGTGCTGTGTGTGCCGTGTTGCCCCAGGCGTCATAAGCGTCGTGGCGAGGGCCCTGGACTACGACAAGCGCCGCCACCACTACCTGACGGTGTGGGCCGCCGCCGCCAGCGACGGCGACGGCGACGACGCCGGAGGGGCGGCGACCTCGCCGAGCGCCGTTACCGTGGTGACCGTGGACGTCACCGACGAACCGCGGTTCGCCGCGAAGAGCGCCGTCGTCGGGGAGGAGGACGCCCTGCCTGGTGACGCCATCGTCACGGTAACGGCGTCGACCCGTGACGATGCCGGTTACGTCGTCGTCAGATCGTCGTCACGGTGACGGCGTTAACCTGTAACATCGCGTTTAGGTCGTCACTAAACCAGCAGAAGCAGCAGCAGCATGATGATGATCATGGTGGGTGGTAGGGTTTGTGTCGTGGTTAAAGCTGTCTCTCTTGCGGTGTTTGTGTTGTGGTTGAAGCTGTCTCTCTTGCGGTGTTGTGGTTAAAGCTGTCTCTCTTGCGGTGTTTGTGTTGTGGTTGAAGCTGTCTCTCTTGCGGTGTTATGGTTAAAGCTGTCTCTCTTGCGGTGTTTGTGTTGTGGTTGAAGCTGTCTATCTCCGGTGGTTGTGGTTGAAGCTGTCTCTCTTGCAGTGTTGGGTTGAAGCTGTCTCTCTGCGGTGATTGTGTTGTGGTTGAAGCTGTCTCTCTTGCGGTGTTGTGGTTGAAGCTGTCTCTCTTGCGGTGTTTGTGTTGTGGTTGAAGCTGTCTCTCTCTTGCGGTGTTTGTGTTGTGGTTGAAGCTATCTCTCTTGCGGTGTTGTGGTTGAAGCTGTCTCTCTCTTGCGGTGTTTGTGTTGTGGTTGAAGCTGTCTATCTGCGGTGGTTGTGGTTGAAGCTGTCTCTCTCGCGGTGTTGTGGTTGAAGCTGTCTCTCTTGCGGTGTTTGTGTTGTGATTGAAGCTGTCTATCTGCGGTGGTTGTGGTTGAAGCTGTCTCTCTTGCGGTGTTTGTGGTTGAAGCTGTCTCTCTCTGCTGTGTTTTGTGTTTTGTGCCACCGCCGTCTGTCTCCTTCACCGTCGCATCATCCGTAGAGCGGAGCAGCCGGCGACGCCAGCAGCGAGGAGGAGGAGTAGGAGGAGATTGCCACGTCCTCGCCGCTGCCGGCCGGTGGGCGGCGGGTCCACGTTTGACCGACGGAGCCCCTCGCTCGCTCGCTCGTTGCGGGAGCGTGTCCGCGTGCAGATCACTCAACTCGAGGCTGACGGATGTTGTTTTATTGTTGGTGCCTAATTGTACGTCGCCGCTTGGGGGATGCACCCCGCCAGGCGAGGATCGCACGCCTCCAACGTATCCGCTGTCGGTTAGCATCGGAGGGGACTTGTGGCTCGGCTCGGGCAAACGTTAGCTGCCACGGCAGTGCTCCGGTGCCATTGAATTAAAGCCCCTCCTCCTCGTTTTGTTTGTGTTGCAAGACAATTAGCATTTTGCTGTGCGGTGCGGAAACAAAAAACCGATTGCCCGCCGAGTAAGGGGCTGTTTATCTTTGTTTTTTGTTCAATGTTTTTTCTTCGAAACACATCGGCTCTGGTAGATGTTACTAAACCCGAAATCTTTTAATTTGCCACTGATAACGGTGCGTTGGATGCTCGCACTACTCTCTCTGTCCGCTGTAAAATTAACTCGATGCGTTCCCTTGACAGTTCTTTCCTCGGATTCTCTGCGAGCACCATCGACCCCCCCCCCCCCCCCCCCCCCCCCCCCCCCCGTTGCACTGGAGCGGAGTGCCATTAAACAGCATCTCTTTTGTTTGCATTTTGACTGCTTGTGTTGTGGTTATTGCAAACACGATGCCTTGAATAAAGGTGTCAGTTTTTGTGCCAGTTAAAAGGGTAAAACCTATTTCTAAGTCACCCCCTGTGAGTGGCTGGCTAAAGTGCCATCTGTTGAGGAAGTACTGAAGGCGTTCCGGAGTCTGAGACCAGGAAAGGCAGCGGGTAGAGATGATCTCCCAAGCAAAATGCTGAGAGAGGGTGGCGTTTGTGCACAAACTGCCCTTTATGACATCATAACAACAGCCTGGACCACTGGACGGGTTCCGCAGGATTGGAAGGATGCCCTGGTGGTCCCCCTCTTTAAGAAGGGGGACCGCACAGACTGTAACAACTACAGGGGCATCTCACTCGTCAGTGTGCTGGGAAAGGTCCTGGCAAGGATTATTCAACATCGCCTTGCCAGGCACGCTGAGGAAAGGCTTGCGGAGCCCCAATGCGGTTTCAGGAAAGGGTGGTTGTTGTATATATAGGTGTTATGGAAATTGATGAAAATAATGAAAATTAAATGAAATTTGAGATTTGCATAATTTATCCGAAATTATGTTAATCAGTGTAATTATGCGCATAAATTATGCTGATTCGAGAGGTAATCGTATTAATTAATGCGAGTGGGCGTGGTTATGATAATGCTGGTCGTTATGGATTATCAGGTCGAGCCTCGGTGACTAGGATTGTGTTATGAATTGGAATGACGCAATTAATCGTATGCAGTGACGCAGGCGTTGTGAGCGTGAATGAGAGAGAGTCGATTCGACTCTGCTCTTTAATTCCGTATTATCGATAAGGATACGATTACTCTCGATTGAACATTACGAATTATGCGTGTTATGGATTATGTATGGTGATAGTGTGCTTATGATAGGTCCCCAGGATTCAGATCTCATACGCAGAACAATATTATGCAGAATTTCAGGAAGAATCACACACAAACCTTCTGCTTTAATCAATTTTATTTCTAGCTAACTTTAATTTTTGGATAATATGAAAACTCAATCTCGGGATTTTGGAATTTCAACACAGCGTTAACATGATACCATCACGATTGCGTTGTTTCACCTCGATAGCGGCACCTGTGGTTAATTCCCGACGCGTAACGCAATCGATCGGTTGTTGAGAGAGAGATTAAAAACATGCGAACTATTCTATCAAACCTTAACTTTATAATATGCAAACTCGTATGCTTGAATTGTTACACAACACAGCACTTGGTCTTTGATTCGTATCCAATCCTTAATACATCCTGATATGCGAAGTTATTATGCTTGAAATCGTCAGCACAGTACCACGTTGATGTTCGTTCATTGATTCATAACGATTATGAATTTAAAGCGTTCGACTGAAATACTTCGAATTGCCTTATCAACACCACTCGATGGCCACAATGCTTCGTTACTTGAATTGTCACACAACACAGCATTCGGTCATTGATCATGCGCGGCCCTTAATGCAATTATTGTCACGTTGTTCACAATAGGATGACTGATTATTATGCAACGCTACTCGTTGACAGGGGCACTACAACCAGTATTATTCTTGGAGGCACAACTATGCGTTTCAATTCGTTATTTCATTCGTGGATACCAGCAAGATTATGCATAAAGACAATATTAACGAACGACTCAAGTATTTCTAATCAACTTCTCAACGCGACTCAATGGGTGGCGATGTTTCCTTTTGATATCCTTATCTCGGGCCAATCTTTTAATTAATTGTGGCCAGACCCCTGACAGGGAACCGGTTGAACCCGCTCTCTATCCCCGCGAGCGGCGCTCCGTGGTGAGGTGCCAAGAATTAATCCTTGTTAATGGGTCAGTTGGTAATTTATGCGGTTAGAAGTACAGCCCCAGCACAATATTACAGAGAAAAATTATGAACACTCTTAAAAACGATGGATTATTCACTCGGTCGTTGCGATGTTTCCACAATCACGGATGGTTCAATGGCTTGAGGTTTTTAGGCTTTGTTAATGACCCGTGTGTGTGTGTGTTGAATGGTGTGAGTGGTGAAAGAGTAGGCCAATGTTCGGAATCGATTCTTTGCGTCAAGCAGACGTCTGGTTTGTGTGTAGTGGGGGGCAGTGTATCATACGTATCAGTTGATTCTTCTTTCAGTAGTTGGTTCGGACTCGACGGACGTTGGTGAACGAGTAGATGCGTTGTTGTAGCTGAGATGACCGTCTGGTAGACGGCGTTAGAAGCACGCCCGCAGCGGCGCGCTGGTGCTCCGTCGTCGGCGGTTGTAGATTGCAGGCTCACGATTCGCTCGTGGTGGCGCTGGCCGCTAACAGCGGCAGCGGGTCGCCAATTCGGCGAGTTGTAGAGACGTCTCCGGCGTCGGTGATGGCTGCTCTTCTGCTGAGATGAGTTGAGCGGGTCTTCTGCTGAGATGAGTAGAGATGAGTCTTCTTCTGTTGAGCTGAGTTGAGATCAGTCTTCTTCTGTTGAGCTGAGTTGAGATGAGTCTTCTTCTGTTGAGCTGCCCCCGAGGGCTGATGAGTTGGCCCCGAGGGCTGATGAGTTGATTTCAATGCTGAAACGGCTCCTTTTTATGCCAAAAATCTCTCTCCTTCTCGGCTCCCCCTCACGAGGCGGAGCTATCTTTGATCTGATCGTATGTCGGTGGGGGGGGGTTCGTGTGTCGGTGGTGGGGGGGTTCGTGTGTCAGTGTGTATGTTTGTGTGTGTGTCATTTATGACACGGTCCTGTTCGGGTCTTTCCTCAAGCCATAAACATCAAGACAACAGACACCTCGATTCATCTCGGTGGCGTCTGGTTGTCTGATCCCTCCACCCAGAGAGAGGGGCGGGTTCCCCCCCCCCCCTTTTCCGTTCGCGTTCCGACGCACAAAGAAATGGTTAAGATTTTTTAAAGTTTAACATTTCACATCACAGTTGGTATCTTATCATACACAGTTATGATCCTGCTTGTGATTCATAGTATTTGATTTATTTCCAAGTGAAGATGCTCTTCCGAGCGTATGCATTTTATCACGTGCTGCAGGGAAAGACAAAGGTGGCCGGGAGCACCTCTTTATACTTTTGACTTATATTTCTCAAATACCATTTGGTCCCATGTTCGCCAAGACTCGTGTTTGTAACTACGTCCTCCCGACACCTCTCGGTTTTACCGAGGTTCGAATTGTTATGATGGAATTATTAAAAAGAAAAATAATTATCATCCTGAGTTTAAGAGGTCCATTTCTTGATTGTTGGAATCCATATCCCTTGGTTCTGTAAGGTTCTATAATGGAATGTCGTGTAAGGTTAACACGTTGTTATTATTAATATTATTTTGCAATTTCCTTTAAAACTTTCTTTGCCTGGTTGCCGTGTGTGGGGTGGGTGTGTCTCCTCATCAAACCCGGCTGGCTTTTCCAGATGGCCCCTTGTGATAAGGTGTAATTCCTGCTTCTCCGCGCTGTGAGAGAGACAAATGTGGTCGGGGTTGCTTGGAATATTGTTTAAACTCTTTCGCAAGTTTGCCCGTTGTCTCATTCCTTCTCGATAACCTTTGATGTGACTCGGTATTCTTGCTCCAAGCTTTGTTTTAACAGTAAAAGTATTAAAGGTGAAAATCATTTGATAGCGAATTAATCATTGGATAATAATTAACTGATGTGTCTGGTGGCCTGTTCTTAATTGGAGTGAGCGTTAGGATCGCTAATTTTATCTTATTCTTGTTGTTGCCTTTTAATTTTTTTGTTGTTTTACTGGAAAATAAGGAAAAGAATATGTATACGATTTACCCTGTTGGCGTCTGGTGTCTGCTCTCTTGGTGTTCTGACCTCGGAGGGACCTTTCCTAAGGGGCCCATCAAACTCTTGTTCATCTGGAGATTTTCGCCGATAGCTGTTACATCCTCGCCTTGAGAGTTTTATTATTTCTTTATATCTCTATATGGCCTGTTTATGACCGACACCTGGTTTTTCGTGTTTCTGGCTTACGGGTTTGATTCATTATTAAAAAAATATATATATTGTTTGTCACGAAAGAAAGGAAAAAGAAATCTGTGTATGCATCCGTAAATATTCTTATGGATATTAATTAGAAAAAGGGCCGTATACAACACAGATGCCATATTTTCTGTCCGTTTGCTACAGCAGAGGTGTAGGGAATTCCAGCAAGACCTACATCTCTGCTTTATTGACCTGGTCAAGGCCTATGATACCATCAGTAGCCCTGGGCTCTGGGTCGTTCTTCGTGCTTTTGGAGTCCCTGACCATCTGCTCACGATCATTAAGGACCTTCATGATGGTGAGCGGGCCCGGGTAAAACTACGTAGCCGGGAGTCAGAGCCATTCCC